AAATACATCTTGAAATTCTTGTAATATATCATCTATTGAAATAAACTGAGGAGAAACATAAATCAGAGCTACTTCATTAAAATTGATATTAAATTTTCTAATCCAACATCTTCCCATAATGGGACTTCCATAATTAGGTAGATACATTAACTTCCACCACATCCCAAAAGTTAGAATATGTGTTTGGTGTACGATCGAAAACACACATTAGTGTTTTTTAGGGGAAGATTAGGCTTTAATTTTTCGAAATCTATTTGCGATATTATAGAAATCGGACTACCTGTGTCACATTCGAAATTATAATGTTTTTGATTAATTTGTAGTCTTTCGATTTAATTTATCCGTAATACAAACATCCGAAATGTGCCCCTTTTGTTTGCATATTTGACATTGTAGTTTATTGGGTCTTTTCTTTTTCCACATCTTAAACATTTGCCATCGAGTCCTAATTTTTGAAAGTTAAAATCATTATTTCTACTGTTTGTTGAATATTCAATTTGAAAGTTCTCTTCAACTTTTTGGACTAAAGATGTTGAAGCGCACTTGTAGTCTTCTCTGTTTTGGATTTTTGAAGCTTCAATTAAATAAGAAATTTGTAAGGTCTTATCTAATGATATATCTGTCTGTCTTGTAAAATTTTTTCACGTATTTCTGTATCAATTAAACCTCGAATGAACTGGGCTCGCAAAAGAAGGTTGATAACGGATCTTGCACATTTTTGATCATTACATTCTGTTTTTATGTCACAGGTCTTTATCAGCTCTTTAAATGCAACATATTATTATGTATCTAGAGACTCACCATATTTTTGTGTTCTTGAGATAAATTTGTGTTGTTCTGTTAAAATATATCTTTTAGGGTTAAGCTGGTTTCTTAAAAGCGTTATTAATTTTGTTTATGAGATTTTTTTTTTAATATTTCAATCCGACTTAACCCCTATTTTTATTTAGATTTTTTTTTAAATCAGTAGGCTTCGTGCTTTTTTAGAGCTTGATTGTTCCTGAAAATTTCAAGTTGATATCATTTTTGGTTTTTGACAAAAAAACGTCACATCGGACGGATGGACGGATATTTTTAAAAGTTGTTTAAAATTTGATGGAAAGGATTTTTGTTGAAACATTTTTAAATTTCAATGAATATCAAACATTTTGATTTCTCTAAAGTAAACCTTTAATACTCTTCACAGACTACAGTGTGATGAGTATAATAATAGGAACATTCGCAAGTTTAATAAAAACAAAAATAAATAGGAAAATAAAAAGAAACATTTGTAAGTCTGATATAAATTAAAAATAAATAATCAAAATTCTGTAAAAATAAAATACTTATATGGTTAAAGCTTGTAGAACATCAAGTTTAAATTGGTAAAAAAAGGAACATATTTATTTAGGTATGATACTAAAAATTAACTCTTAATACATTATAAAAACTTTTCTAGCAATAGAAAAACGTAATACTCATTTTTACTTTCCTATCTGTATACAGATATAAGGAAAGTATAGGAATCATGATTTTTTTCGACCTCGAGTTTTCGACGGATTTTTACGTTTTGAGGTCCCCTGAATCCGTTTTGACTATTTTCGCGATGATGTCTATCTGTCTATCTGTCTATGTGTGTGTGTGTGTGTGTGTGTGTGTGTGTGTGTGTGTGTGTGTGTGTGTGTGTGTGTGTGTGTGTGTGTGTGTGTGTGTGTGTGTGTGTGTGTGTGTGTGTGTGTGTGTGTGTGTGTGTGTGTGTGTGTGTGTGTGTGTGTGTGTGTGTGTGTGTGTGTGTGTGTGTGTGTGTGTGTGTGTGTGTGTGTGTGTGTGTGTGTGTGTGTGTGTGTGTGTGTGTGTGTGTGTGTGTGTGTGTGTGTGTGTGTGTGTGTGTGTGTGTGTGTGTGTGTGTGTGTGTGTGTGTGTGTGTGTGTGTGTGTGTGTGTGTGTGTGTGTGTGTGTGTGTGTGTGTGTGTGTGTGTGTGTGTGTGTGTGTGTGTGTGTGTGTGTGTGTGTGTGTGTGTGTGTGTGTGTGTGTGTGTGTGTGTGTGTGTGTGTGTGTGTGTGTGTGTGTGTGTGTGTGTGTGTGTGTGTGTGTGTGTGTGTGTGTGTGTGTGTGTGTGTGTGTGTGTGTGTGTGTGTGTGTGTGTGTGTGTGTGTGTGTGTGTGTGTGTGTGTGTGTGTGTGTGTGTGTGTGTGTGTGTGTGTGTGTGTGTGTGTGTGTGTGTGTGTGTGTGTGTGTGTGTGTGTGTGTGTGTGTGTGTGTGTGTGTGTGTGTGTGTGTGTGTGTGTGTGTGTGTGTGTGTGTGTGTGTGTGTGTGTGTGTGTGTGTGTGTGTGTGTGTGTGTGTGTGTGTGTGTGTGTGTGTGTGTGTGTGTGTGTGTGTGTGTGTGTGTGTGTGTGTGTGTGTGTGTGTGTGTGTGTGTGTGTGTGTGTGTGTGTGTGTGTGTGTGTGTGTGTGTGTGTGTGTGTGTGTGTGTGTGTGTGTGTGTGTGTGTGTGTGTGTGTGTGTGTGTGTGTGTGTGTGTGTGTGTGTGTGTGTGTGTGTGTGTGTGTGTGTGTGTGTGTGTGTGTGTGTGTGTGTGTGTGTGTGTGTGTGTGTGTGTGTGTGTGTGTGTGTGTGTGTGTGTGTGTGTGTGTGTGTGTGTGTGTGTGTTTGTGTGTGTGTGTGTGTGTGTGTGTGTGTGTGTGTGTGTGTGTGTGTGTGTGTGTGTGTGTGTGTGTGTTTGTGTGTGTGTGTGTGTGTTTGTGTGTGTGTGTGTGTGTGTGTGTGTGTGTGTGTGTGTGTGTGTGTGTGTGTGTGTGTGTGTGTGTGTGTGTGTGTGTGTGTGTGTGTGAGTGTGTGTATATAACGCATAACTCATGAACCGATACACGGAAAAACACCAAATTTCAAACTTAAGCTTTGTTCCAGCGTCTAATGAGCTGATTAGATTTTGGGCAGAGTCAAAACATCTGGGGGGGTACTTTATAGGTGGTCATTTTTATATTTTATGAAATATATCTGTTATTTACGTTTGGGGAAGAAAACTCTTCAAATGAAAGTTACTTCTTATTTTATTATCTATAATTTTTGTTATATACAAAATTTTCCTAAAATGGTCCGTATTCGCGAAATTTGACTAAATGTAAAAAAATATTTTTTTTTATAAAAATTGTTCAAACAAAAGTTGTTTGTAATATAATTCTCTATAATTTTTATCTCATAGGTAATTTCTCTAAAATGGACCGTATTCGAGATATTTGAGAAAATGTGTAAATTTCGAAATTTGAAGAAAACTCAAAAACAGATAAAGAAAAAAACATTAAATTTTAAACTTAAGTTTTATTTCGGCCTGACGTGAAATGAAAATTGTTCAAATAAAAGTTACTTCTAATATTATTATCTATAATTTTTGTTTTATGTCAAAATTTCCTGAAATGGTCCGTATTCGAGAAATTTGACAAAATGTGCAAAATTCTGATTTTTATGAAAATTGTTGAACTAAAAGTTGTTTGCGATATCGATTTCTATAATTTTTGTTTATACATGATTTTTCTAAAATGGACCGTAATGGAAAAGTGCTAAATTTAAATTTTTCTGTATTTTCGTTTTCAATGAATATCTATAGAAAAATGTTTCGAGGTAGATGTATGTGTAAAATGTATATATTTAGTTTATCCTCTAAACATTTATAGAGATGCTGCAATAGGTTGTACAAAATAACCGGAAAATGCCTATAATAACTAGATAGGAAAGTCATGTGTTGGACACATCAGATTTTTAAATATTATTTTATATTTTGTAGATATATTATAGCGTAACACACTTTAAAACTGATCTGTCAATCGACCATAGCATGCTATAATATTTCTGTCCTAAATTCGAAAATCGGATGAATCTATGAATTGAAGTCAAATTATTAATGTAAAAATCGTAAAATTAAAATAACAATTTACTGATTTTTACTATTTTGCAAAATACAGGGTGTTCTATAAATAAACGGTAAAATTCATACTTATATAATAGAATATAGTTTAGGTCGTCAATGCCGTATAAGCTATTTCATTTATGACTTACCATGACATCACTTTTACTTTTCCTCCCTAGGGAGTAAAAGTACTTTTCCTCCCTAGGGAGGAAAAGTATGACTTTGCTCCCTGCAATGAGGTCAGGAAATGTATACTTTGGATAGAGGTAGGCGGAAAAATCTTTTTCTATAGTCAAAGCGCATTCGACTTAAACGCTCTTTCTCGTTGCCAGAGCTGTTTTAGTTCGGTACTCAATTTCTGCAGCATTTTTATAATTCAAAATTATATCGTGCAATGCACGCTTCGAGTGCGAACCAGTTCGTGCATCATTTTATCGATATTCGACTGGTACAGTTGACATTTCCAGTTTCTAACCTTATTTAATATCTGTTTTAACGGTACTAGCTACTTATATGCACTTATGGGTGGGTTTCTATTTAAATCTTTTTTATAGAAGTCTGAATTTTCAACTTTGGTATTTAAACATTTCATATGAATTTTTGTTCATCCCGAAGTTTCTTTTGAACTATAAAAGGTTTGAAATCTTTATTTATTTATTTATATACATATAAAGAAATAATTTAAATTTTCTTTTTTAGAACATTTTTCCACAACTTCAACTTCCTATATTCTTTGTCAATTTTTGGTTTCAACATTTTATACAACTCTTCTATCTATATCATCGCTAATATCTTCATCTTCACTATTACTGGATAATAATAAAGACAAAGGTAACATAAAAATTGAAAATAAAACCTAACCTCTAAATCGGCACTGGCTAGCACTGAAAAAAAGTACAGTTCCAAAAAAATTCGAACTTTGAGCAAGCGCTTCTACCAGTCGAACAAAAATATTAATGTGTCCTCGTTCTGCCAGTCGAATGTATGGCACTTAAAAAAGTCAAACTAAATCCGCACTAGTGTGATTAGTCGAATGCGCTAATATTTATCTATTCGAAATGTCAGAATAATCCTGTTAAATAAAAGGAAATTAAACTACGAAAAGCAATTTACCGATGCAACACTGCCAAAGCCATGTGTTCCTCCGCCTCTTTCGTTCTGTAAAAATCGATCTCGTCGTTTTGGACGAAAAAGAGTTGCTTTCCGACTTTCACCAAACCATCTGCGTATACGGGAGGATCAACTTTGGCGTCTTTGCAGAGTTTCGCTAAAATTTGAGATGGTTTCATTGCATCCCTCCAAGCGTTGTAGCCCTCTCTGAAAAACAAACAAAGTAGAATTTAAGGATGAGGTTTGTTTTATTTATTTTACGATTTGAAATATAGTTCGACGTACAGTAAAGGGAATTAATTAGAATATTAAGTACCGGGCAAATAAAATATGGCTAAAAGTTTTCAGAGTTTTCAGAGCAGAATCACTCTTTAATATGGTGTTTTTGTAGAATAGATAGCCAGTATTGATGGTGCGATAAACGATAGAACTGTAACTATAGTATTAAAAAAATAATGATTAAATAGAATTTTGAAAAAGTCAAATAGATTACACAGGTTTACAAAAAAAAGGAAGTCCGGACTATTTGACCGGACTATGGTATTCCTAGGTATTTTGGCATCCTGAATCCGATCCCGGGGTTAGTTTTGCCCCATCACGTCAGAAAACCCAGATTTCAAGGTCATTTAGAGGTTAAAATGGAGCTTTTTCGGAACCGTCCCGGGACAATTTTTCAAGCGATCTGTTAAGTTGAGGGGTAACTATGTAGGTCTTGAATACCTTCCAAACATTGGAAACGGTCCCCAAATCTCGACAAGGACCAGCGCAGAGCCAGCCATGTGGATAAAATGTTGTCATGATCGTTGTATCTCGCAAATTTTGATCTCCCTACCAAAGAGTTCAATTTTGGCGATCCATTTGCTGTGAGATAATGCCAGTGGATCCAGCACTGACCCAAATGGCCCTAGAACCTTGCCAGAACATTGGAGTTATGCTTCGTGTCTCGCTCAGGTCTGGCCCAAGGTGGAGAACTGGCTCAGGGGATTACTAACTCTGAAGTTGTGGGTTGGGATCTTAGGGCCAGTTTCTGCAACCTTAGTTTGCCCCAGACAGTATACTCAGCTTCACCCAATTTTTGGACGATGTTCTAAGAGCACTTTGAGAAGTGCTGGCATTAACTAACGATAACTCAATTGCCAAAATTCTACGTGTTGGCAAGGGAAGCAAAATTCACGAGCTCAAATACTTCGAACCACTTGAGCAAAACTGCAATGTTCTGGTAAGGTTCTAGGGCTATTTGGGTTAGTGCTGGATCCACTAGCATTATCTCACAGCAAATGGATCGCCGAAATTGAACACCTTGGCAGGGAGATCGAAATTCGCGAGATGCAACGATCATGACAACATTTTATCCACATGGCTGGCCCTGCGCTGGTCCTGGTCGAGATTTGGGGACCGTTTCCAATGTTTGAAAGATATTCAAGACCTACCCCTCAACTCAACAGATCGCTTGAGAAATTGTCCTGGAGCCAGTTCCAAAAATCACCATTTTGATCTCTAAATAACCTTAAAATCTGATTTTTCTGACGTGATGGGGGTAAAACTGACCCCGGTATTGGATTCAGGACGACAAAATACCTAGAAATATCATGGTCTGGTCAAATAGTCCGGACTTTTTTTTTTATTTTGTAAACCTGTGTTATTTTTCAAAATAATTCAAAAGTAATTTCGTTATAAGCCAACAGTAGCTGGTCTGCTATCCGTCATTGAGGTCTATTCTGTAAAAATTTGGTAAAAATTAACCCTGGGTTATAAAAATAACCAGATGTCATTTTTAATTTTGTATTTTATACTATATGGTTAAAATTATAACTTATGTAAGTTAATAAATCTACTAATGATTACACGTCAAATATTCTTTTTCTTATTTTCAATGCTGCGTTGGGCTTAATATTCACTTTTAGGTATATAACAACGTAGTCATGTGTGTTTTAACTGGGATTGGTTATAAAATAGCTAATAACAAAATTAAATTGATGAAATATCTAATAGAGATTCGGGTTAAAATAATCGATTAATCTAAATAATTTATTAATCAAAACAATCGATTAATCGAAAATAATCGATTAATTTAATATAATCGATTAATCGAAAGTAATCATTTAATCTAAAATAATATATTACCTAATCTAAAATAATCGATTAATCGAAATAATCGATTAATCGAAATAATCGATTAATCGAAATAATCGATTAATCGAAATAATCGATTAATCAAAATAATCGATTATTCGAAAATAATCGATTATTCGAAAATAATCGATTATACGAAAATAATATATTAATCGAAAATATTCATTTAATCGAAATTAATCGATTAATCAAAAATAATCGATTATTTGAAAATAATCTATTTGAAAATAATCTATTTGAAAATAATCTATTTGAAAATAATCTATTATTTGAAAATAATATATTATTTGAAAATAATTGATTAATCGAAAATAATTGATTAATCGAAAATAATCGATTATTTGAAAATAATCGATTAGTCAAAAATAATCGAAAAGAATCGAAAAGAATCGAAAAGAATCGAAAAGAATCGAAAAGAATCGAAAAGAATCGAAAAGAATCGAAAAGAATCGAAAAGAATCGAAAAGAATCGAAAAGAATCGAAAAGAATCGAAAAGAATCGAAAAGAATCGAAAAGAATCGAAAAGAATCGAAAAGAATCGAAAAGAATCGAAAAGAATCGAAAAGAATCGAAAAGAATCGAAAAGAATCGAAAAGAATCGAAAAGAATCGAAAAGAATCGAAAAGAATCGAAAAGAATCGAAAAGAATCGAAAAGAATCGAAAAGAATCGAAAAGAATCGAAAAGAATCGAAAAGAATCGAAAAGAATCGAAAAGAATCGAAAAGAATCGAAAAGAATCGAAAAGAATCGAAAAGAATCGAAAAGAATCGAAAAGAATCGAAAAGAATCGAAAAGAATCGAAAAGAATCGAAAAGAATCGAAAAGAATCGAAAAGAATCGAAAAGAATCGAAAAGAATCGAAAAGAATCGAAAAGAATCGAAAAGAATCGAAAAGAATCGAAAAGAATCGAAAAGAATCGAAAAGAATCGAAAAGAATCGAAAAGAATCGAAAAGAATCGAAAAGAATCGAAAAGAATCGAAAAGAATCGAAAAGAATCGAAAAGAATCGAAAAGAATCGAAAAGAATCGAAAAGAATCGAAAAGAATCGAAAAGAATCGAAAAGAATCGAAAAGAATCGAAAAGAATCGAAAAGAATCGAAAAGAATCGAAAAGAATCGAAAAGAATCGAAAAGAATCGAAAAGAATCGAAAAGAATCGAAAAGAATCGAAAAGAATCGAAAAGAATCGAAAAGAATCGAAAAGAATCGAAAAGAATCGAAAAGAATCGAAAAGAATCGAAAAGAATCGAAAAGAATCGAAAAGAATCGAAAAGAATCGAAAAGAATCGAAAAGAATCGAAAAGAATCGAAAAGAATCGAAAAGAATCGAAAAGAATCGAAAAGAATCGAAAAGAATCGAAAAGAATCGAAAAGAATCGAAAAGAATCGAAAAGAATCGAAAAGAATCGAAAAGAATCGAAAAGAATCGAAAAGAATCGAAAAGAATCGAAAAGAATCGAAAAGAATCGAAAAGAATCGAAAAGAATCGAAAAGAATCGAAAAGAATCGAAAAGAATCGAAAAGAATCGAAAAGAATCGAAAAGAATCGAAAAGAATCGAAAAGAATCGAAAAGAATCGAAAAGAATCGAAAAGAATCGAAAAGAATCGAAAAGAATCGAAAAGAATCGAAAAGAATCGAAAAGAATCGAAAAGAATCGAAAAGAATCGAAAAGAATCGAAAAGAATCGAAAAGAATCGAAAAGAATCGAAAAGAATCGAAAAGAATCGAAAAGAATCGAAAAGAATCGAAAAGAATCGAAAAGAATCGAAAAGAATCGAAAAGAATCGAAAAGAATCGAAAAGAATCGAAAAGAATCGAAAAGAATCGAAAAGAATCGAAAAGAATCGAAAAGAATCGAAAAGAATCGAAAAGAATCGAAAAGAATCGAAAAGAATCGAAAAGAATCGAAAAGAATCGAAAAGAATCGAAAAGAATCGAAAAGAATCGAAAAGAATCGAAAAGAATCGAAAAGAATCGAAAAGAATCGAAAAGAATCGAAAAGAATCGAAAAGAATCGAAAAGAATCGAAAAGAATCGAAAAGAATCGAAAAGAATCGAAAAGAATCGAAAAGAATCGAAAAGAATCGAAAAGAATCGAAAAGAATCGAAAAGAATCGAAAAGAATCGAAAAGAATCGAAAAGAATCGAAAAGAATCGAAAAGAATCGAAAAGAATCGAAAAGAATCGAAAAGAATCGAAAAGAATCGAAAAGAATCGAAAAGAATCGAAAAGAATCGAAAAGAATCGAAAAGAATCGAAAAGAATCGAAAAGAATCGAAAAGAATCGAAAAGAATCGAAAAGAATCGAAAAGAATCGAAAAGAATCGAAAAGAATCGAAAAGAATCGAAAAGAATCGAAAAGAATCGAAAAGAATCGAAAAGAATCGAAAAGAATCGAAAAGAATCGAAAAGAATCGAAAAGAATCGAAAAGAATCGAAAAGAATCGAAAAGAATCGAAAAGAATCGAAAAGAATCGAAAAGAATCGAAAAGAATCGAAAAGAATCGAAAAGAATCGAAAAGAATCGAAAAGAATCGAAAAGAATCGAAAAGAATCGAAAAGAATCGAAAAGAATCGAAAAGAATCGAAAAGAATCGAAAAGAATCGAAAAGAATCGAAAAGAATCGAAAAGAATCGAAAAGAATCGAAAAGAATCGAAAAGAATCGAAAAGAATCGAAAAGAATCGAAAAGAATCGAAAAGAATCGAAAAGAATCGAAAAGAATCGAAAAGAATCGAAAAGAATCGAAAAGAATCGAAAAGAATCGAAAAGAATCGAAAAGAATCGAAAAGAATCGAAAAGAATCGAAAAGAATCGAAAAGAATCGAAAAGAATCGAAAAGAATCGAAAATAATCAATTATTGATATAAAAAAATCGACTAATCGATAAATAGTTTATTTTGTCCACCCTTAGTCAAAACTTCTTAAGTTACTAGGAGCATATTTTTCTCTTATTTAAGGCAACCATTTACAATTACCTGTAATTTTTGTATACAATAATTATTAAATTTCTGTAGATATAACAATAACCCTAAAAATTGTGTACTTATTAAAGGTACAAGTATATTTTAAGTATTTCGACTTAATAAAATGTTTGAATGCTACTTATTAAATGATCATTAATAGTATATTACTCTAGTTATTTGTTTATTTATCCCATCCTCTCTTGTACTTATTAAATAATTTGTTCTTTTGTTCGCTATTGGTGCAGTGTAGATAACACCACACCAGGTGGTCAGCTATTTTGTGCTGTAATATAAACCAACGAAACCTTACACCGAGTCGAACGAAAGGTATTGGGTCTGTTGGTTTAGCTACACCAGTAGGATGAACGGCAATCTAATATGATATCCAGATTTTCATTATAATACAGATCTTCGTTATGCAACAAGTAAATTGACAAGTAGGAGTAGAACGTGGCAACATGATAATCTGACATTTGTCTTATAGAGTGAAAAAGAATATAATTCTATCAATATTTGATTATAAATAACGTCGTATATAAAATATAGTCTGCAACTCTCATATAATGACTTGTAACACTTATATGAAGCATACGAAACTTCTCTATTGTTGGTTTCGTATTTACTTTATGCGTATCTATTAACTACATTACAAGATCGTTACATAATAAATATACTATTTTCTATCCCCTTCACTCACATTCTCTCATTTCTAATATTTTTGTTTTATGAAATTAATTTAGTCAGCATTATTTTATTTATATGTATGTCACATGTACAATTTAAAAATTTTTAAGCCAACCCTGCTTACTTTTTTACGCGTATTGCGCATGTGCACCATTGTCCCGAAGCTACATGTGAAATCAATTTTAATATGAGACAATGGCATTTTTGGTATTCTGTGAACATATCGTAGAATTGCAGAATACAAACAAACATTAAAATATCGGGCGATAAATTTGGCAACAATGTAAATAAAGAAAATAGGAGTCGGGGATGTCCTTAAATTTCTGACAACTCGTTTTCGGTAAAATGAGAAGTTTCCAGATTTCTGTGCCACTCTGCATGTCACAAATGTCGCTAGCTGTACGTGGACGATTTTTAATTCAGATTAGATTTTGTTGGATTTGTAGATTTCCATTTAAATGTGTCATATCATGTTTGCCACTTAAGAACTATAAAACATAAGTAGTTTATCATCAGATAACATTCGTTAATTCAGAAATACGTTTAATTAATTGTGGGGTACCTCAAAGCCATTTTTATTTTAAATTTTTATTAACGACTTATCTTTGACGGTTAATGATGGTAGTATTGTATTAATGGCAGATTGTACTTCCTATCTATTCGCTCCGTGCACGACAGCAGCGCCAATTCACTTTGGTACTAATGGACTATTTCTGCCTATACTGACAATACAATTTTTAATGGAATTCGTAATTAATAAGTATATATGTTAGTTTTAATAGAAGTATATGGGTTTGTAAAACAAGTAAAACATTAATTTATTATTATATATCTTTATAGCTTAAACTAAAAAAATTAAGTATATTTAATAAAAAATCAATAATAAAATAAAGTTAAACAGTATTTACGGGAAAATGTATGAGAAGTTGCCTAAGTCTAATAAGTTGTTTTTGAAGAATATTTATTAACCTATTCTGTCAAAATAAAAAAATATCTTTAAATAATTAGCGTGAAGTTAAAATGTATAAACATAAGGAAATATATTTTCAATTTTGTTCAAAAGAAAACAATAAAACTGGTTTTCTATCAGTAATTCACAAAATTGCATTCCAGCTTCATACAATAATCAAAGGCAGAAATATAGTTCTTGCTGCATGAACAATTAAGATTAAAGGGATGTTGAAGAACATCGTGAAATGATAGTTATTGTTTATTTAAAACCTTTAAAATTTCTGATGTCTAGTATTTCCAGTATTACTGTTATTATTACAAAAATAAAGGTAATTTTTCTGCTTATTGTACACCTATCCATTTATTTTTTTGGTTTAATTTACACTTTGCTACTGAAAATTTTTATAATTTACACTGTTTTTTTGCTAGTATTTTTACAATTTTCAACACAGTAAAATGTATACGTGTATTTGATATGCCAAAATTACAAAATATCGCCCTAAAATCCACGAATTATCCGCAGCTAGCACTAGTATCGCTTTTGCTTCCCCTACCATGACTTCGCACTGAGCAAATATTGTATTAATGATATCTCGCTATTAAGTGTTGTATTTCAAATTAGAATAAATAAGTTGGTACGATGGTTCGAGGAAAATAAAATTACTGATAATAAAGAAAAATCATGATTATTTTACTCCCAGGATAATTGTTATTTATGTACGAAATCAGCAAAGTGGTTCTTCATCGAACTAGTCTGAGATTATGAGCCCAGCGAGAGAAGCGAGCGAGGCGAGCGAGGCGAGTAACAGGCGAGTTCGATAAAGACACTTTGCTGATGTGGTCCATACAAACTTTTATTGTCAACCGTAAATAATTATAATTAATAAAAAAGGAGATATTATGACATCAAATTTTAGTATGACAAAGTAAACAAACAAAAATAACAACGAATACAAAACAAATCATTTACAGACTATTTATGTTAGACGGTCATGGCTATGTTGATAAATATTAGCGGCAGATAACTTATTAGATTTTTACACTGATATAGTATATTACATTACGAGTGTGGAAAGTGACATTTTTCACACGAGTGGGAAATATTGTGAAAAACAATTCTGTCCCGCCAGGATTTGAACGCGGTCGAAAAATGGCAAAGTTGATAAGTTCAACGTCCTAACCACCTGAGCTAATAGCCCTTGTGTCAATTGAATGATCTAATCGTTTATGTATTTAACCAGAATAAAGAGCAAACATTATTTTAAAATTATTTCAATAATAATTGTTAAAGATAAATATCTAGGATCTAATTTACAACAATTTCAGTAATTTAACAATCATATCGATTTTGGTATTAATATGGACATTACATAGATCAAAATAGAAATTAGTTGTTTGACATTTTGTGACAACTACTGCGGAAACTAACATATTCTCACTCGGGTGGAAAGTAAATTCTTATTCATACACGTGTGATATAGGGCACTTTCCATAGGACTATATAGTGTGATATGTGTCACTTTACTAAGTGGTCGTAGGAAAAAAGTGTTTGTTTACTTCCGCAAATCACTATCGTAACGCATGGCTTTATAGACGGTTGGCGTTAAATTATATTTATGAGAGCCACACCGAAAAAACAAGAATTATTAAACATGTTTAATAGAAAAATATTTGATTGTCACTAAAAAATTACTTTATTTTCGGTTAATATCAGTAATTAAACGAATGTTGCTGGAAATGTATTAATTTGAAACTGGTGTAATTGAACAATTGTTTAATAACCAATAGCATATTGGTAAAAACTTTAATACCCACTAGGTTTCTGATTACTATTAAACTGATTTAATGGTGCCTATTAAACTCTTTAATAGCAGTTTGCTAACCATAATGAAATGTTCGATAACCACAAGTAAATTTTAACGATCGTTATCCCCTCCATACTCTACGTAATGTAAATTTACAAGCTCAATAATCATTCGCCCCATAGCATTTAATGAAGAAATAACTTTAGCCCTAGAGAATTAAGTGTACTTGTGTAGTACGAGTAAATCGTGTTCCAGTGAGTTTTAATGAACTAAAATAATGGATTATATGGAATTACTAAAGAATTGGAGATGCCGGTCGCTATTTTGGTATGTGTCATTTCTAACTAATACGAATTATATCCATGCAAACTGTTAGTAGTAATCCACTTATAAAGTTTATTGTATGTGTAGGTGTTAAATATGTGTTTCTAGGGAACTAGATTTTCAAAATTTCATTCAATTTTTATCTATGAAAATTAATAAAATCTTTAAAAAATTAAAATTTTGTAATTTTTTCTATAAAAACTATACCAAGTTTTGGAAAAATTGACCCACAGTCATCCAGATAATTAAACCTTTATCTATGCAGGTATTTGTTCTTGAACTAAAAATAAAAAAGAGTGCGGGGTACTAACCTAAGATTTACATAAACCAATTATTGGAGAAGGAGATATTTTTGAACGACCTCTTTGAAACTATTTAATAATCATAATTAAAGTGGTTTAATAGATAGACATTATCCATCATTAAAGCCATTAATAACAGTTATTAAATTATCAATACATATGAACTAAATGCTATTAAGCTGTTCAATATCTATCATTACCCTGTTTAATAATGACTATTAAAGTATTTAGTTAGGCCCTTCTAATAAACTGTATAATACCTGTTACCAAATTAATTTACTAATGATAAGCAAAATTTATTATTTGTTTGCTTGTGATAACAACACTGATCCAAGAACAAAAGCTTAATATGTGCTATTAATCAGTTTAGCTGTCTCATATAGTATTAAAAAAATTAATAGCCGGTATTAAATTTTTAATACCCACTAGCAAAGTTTTTTCTCGGTGCATCTAATGAGACTAGGTGGTCAATTAATTTAAGTTTAGTCTACAAAAATCTTATGTGTTCAAATTAGTAACTCATTAAGTTGGGAAATTTTGATTGATATATGTAAAAAAAACATTCGTTTGTATGCTTTACATTTTTTAGGCTTAGAAATATTACTAATAAATCGGTTTTGTTAGTATATTATTGACCACATTGATATTCATGTATCAGATATGTAGTAATGTTTCTGGGATCGTGTACTAGTGTACTGAGGATTTTTAGACTGAAAAAAGCTCTAAGAAATGCAGCGTCCAGCAATATTTTTTCATAAAACATCAATTAGTTATAAAAAATAATAATAAATCTCGTTCACCATCAAAGAAGCTTGTTGAAACGCCTTGTCAAAAGAGTTAATCTTTTAACGTTTGAAGAAAAACTATTAAATTTTATACAAATAAATCTTTGTCTTGTGTTCGAATAGATCGGTAAATCAAAACTAAAAAACAAATATAATAAAAAAAAAATCCTGTCAAATTTACTCACTCCTCATAAATCTCAGGTAAACCACAACTGGGCCTGTACCGACTGTAAAAGCGATTTTCCAAATCAATTTTCGTCTCTCCGACCATGTCGTCGGACCCAACCAAATCCCAATCGTAAATTTGGACTGTCAGTAACGAGTCTTGCGGAAAAGTGGCCTCGATCTCGAAGCACCTAAATAAAAAAAAAAGAGAAATGACGTTAAGAGGTTTGGAAAAGATTGCCATTTGGGGGTTTATGGTTTGACTTAGATAACTATTTATTATTTATCTTTGCGGGATATTATATTTTCGGCTGTTTTTTATAAAAAGCGGACTGTATTCTAATCCCATTTGAAGTTCATAAAGGTGAGCTGATCGTGTTATTAGCAGGGGTTCCGGCACTTGGGCCTGGGAACTTTTTTACTGCGCATGCGCGGCCATAGCCACGAAGTTGGCTAACCTAAATGTGTCATCTGTCAATGTGTCATCTGTCAATTCTTCTTCTTTTTTTATTAGTTGTCAATTCTTCTTCTTTTCGCTGTCAGTTTTTGTTGGCTGTGGAACGCGGGAGAAAAAGGCCATCGGCTGCGGCGGCGGCGCCCTCTAGCGGTTGGATTAGAATTTGTCATCTGTCAGGTGTCTGTCATCATCTGTCAGCTGTCCGTGTGTGTGTCATACGGTCGATCCGTCAACTGCCCCGATGAGGATTTCGCCAATGAGCGGTGAACATAACCCCCAGTTTAAACGGTCGTTAGACAGCTGCCCGTGGCCCCGGGGCCCGCCACGAGGCGCGCGCCACGCGGAGTCGCGCCGATGAACATAACCCCACTTTTAACGGTCGATCCGTCAAATGCCCCGATGAGGATTTCCGCCGCCGAGGTGAACATAACCCCCGCTTTGAACGATCGGCTGCCCGGGGGCCCGCCACGCGGAGACGCGCCGATGAACATAACCCCCATGGGGGAGTCGTCAATTCCTAACCTCTTGAATGATGAACGTTGAATATAAAAATCATGCGCATTGCCACAAGGGCCTTAGCGTGTATCTTCACTGCTATTGGTCCGATTTAAACGGGGAAAACGACATTATGAAAAGAACGATTAACGTAGAAGAGAAAAATATTGTGCAATGTAAAAAGGGCCTTAGCACGTATCTTCACTGCTATTGATCCAATTCAAACGGGAAAAACGGCATTAAGTAGAGATCGTGGTATAGATTAACGTTGAAGAGAAAAATCATGCGCAGAACGAAAAGCCACAAGGGCCTTAGCGAATATCTCAGCTATCGTTGGTCCGATTCAAACGGGAAAAACGGCATTACGTAGAGATCGTAGTATAGATTACCGTCGAATAGAAAAATCATGCGCAGAACGAAAGGCCACAAGGGCCTTAGCAAATATCTCAGCTATCGTTGGTCTGATTTAAACAGGAAAAACGACATTACGTAAAGAATGATGAACATTAAACAGAAAACTCATGTGTAAAGCCAGAAGGGCCTTAGCGTATATCACGTGGTCCGATTTAAGCGGGAAAAACGGCATTACGTAGAGAATGATTAACGTAGAAGAGAATTTTTATGTAAAGCCAGAAAGGCCTTAGCGATTCAAACGGCTACGTGTAGAGAATGACATCTAGTTGTCATTTCGCACATGCGCAGTTCATAATGCCGTTTTCATATCTTTGTTAATATCGATCGGATTTGAACGTTGAAAATGGTAGATGACAATGTCATCTAGATGGCATGTGCACATGCGCAGTTCAAGGGTTAGTTCTCGCTTGTCACTTTATATCTTCGTTAATATCCCATCAGATGTCTTGAACGATGATGGCGATCATCGTTCACGTGAACTAACCATATACAAGATGGCGGAGTCAAAAGGACATGTCAACTGTCAAGTATAACTTCGTTGCTATTGGTCGGAAAGGAATGGGGAAACAAACAGTTGATGTATTCGTTTCGTTTCGTTACGTTTCGTTACGTTTCGTTACGTTTCGTTACGTTTCGTTACGTTTCGTTACGTTTCGTTACGTTTCGTTACGTTTCGTCACGTTTCGTCACGTTTCGTCACGTTTCGTCACGTTTCGTCACGTTTCGATACATTTCGTTACGTTTCGTCACGTTTCGATACATTTCGTTACGTTTCGTGGACAAAAGGACCTAAGTCTCGGTGGCATGTCACCAGGTGCAAAATGGTCAAAAGGATCTTAGGTAGACAAACGGATAGACAGACAAAAATACAGATAAAAGGACAGGCAGACGGAAAGAGGAGACAAATATCTCCTTAAAATTTATTGATACGAGGATCCAAAAAGACCTAAACATTGAATAATACTTAGAAATCATGTAGAGAGCAACACACGCCTAAGAACAAAAACTACTGAAGAAGAAGATGAAGAGTGAAACGTTGAAAGGTTGATATCCGTAGAAATTTATAGAAAAAAGAATGGAAAATCGTAGAAATCTTTAAAGAATACACGGTGCTGCATTACCAAAGGGGCCATAGTTGGTTAGTACAGAAAATGTAATAACCAAGGAGACATTACTTTTCTGGATCTCTGAATACGGGAAGGTAGCAGTCAAAAGTTCAGTATTTGAGAACAGGTCTAAGAAGTCGTATTGTTCGTATTGTAGTCATACATTATCGTCGTTTCCTTATTACTTACAAGTACAATAAAAATACTCTACGTCCATTGTCGATGGTAAAAAGGTAACAAAATACTCTTCGTCCATTATCGTATGTAAACCTGCGCAGTACGTTATTGTCGTGTCATCGTCTTAATCTTTATTAAAAATAAATACAACAATTACAATATACCATCTTCGTTTGTACTCGATTATTTTCGCATTTAAGATTTACAACCTGGAAAATTATCTGTCAAACATTTATTATTACTGTCTATTTTTTTTCAAGCTATCAACCTAAAAAATATCGCAGCTATCCAACCATTGTCATCTCTACAGGTTTTCGTATGTCTATTCAATATTCTTTTTAACCTAAAAATATGGCATCTGTCATCTGTCACTATTAAAAAACGTTTGTACTCACTTTTTTTCGTATATTATTATTTAGTTTCAGTATTTTTGCATCATCTTCTGTCTCGTATGACTCGTTAAATCCAATAAAAAGGCCTCATTTATTTTCATAAAGTAATTATTGATTGCTTTTATATTTAGCATTTCTGTCCTAAAAATATGACATCAGGCATCCGTCATTATTAAAAACGTTTGTACTCACTTTTTCCGTATAATATATTTTATTGTTTAATTTCGGTTTTACATCTTAAAAATTATGGCATCTGTCATTAAAAACCAATAAAAAGATCCCATTCTTAGACATCATCTCTATACCGAAGGTATTTCTTAATTAGAAAGCAATTATCGATTGCTTTTATATTTAGCATTTCTGCCCTAAAAATATGTAATCTGTCATCCGTCACTATTAAAAACGTTTTGTACTCACTTTTTCATATATTATTGTTTAGTTTCAGTATTTTTGCAGCATCTTGTGCCCCGTATGACACGTTAAATCCAGTAAAAATACCCCATTCATTTTCAGAAAGTAATTATTGATTGCTTTTATATTTAGTATTTCTATACATTTCGACCCTAAAAAATATGACATCTGTCAGCCGTCACTATTAAAAACTTTTGTAACTCACTTTTTTTTTTCCTCATTATTGGCATTTTCTTGTTTAATTTCGATTTACATCTTCTGTCTTAAAAATATAACATCTGTTATTAAAAATCCAATAAAAAAGGGCCCATTTTTAGACAGCACCTCTGTGCCGAAGGTATTTCTTTATTAGAAAACTATTATCGATTGCTTTTATATTTAGCATTTGTATATATTTTTCGTTTTTCAACCTGAAAATATGACATCTATCATTAAATCCAATAACAAAAATATGATATCTGTCATTAAATCGAATAAAAAAGTACTACTTACATTTTTGTCCTAAAAATATGACATCTGTCATTCATCACTATTCAGTAAAGTTTTCATTTCATACATACTATTTAATAAATCCTTTTTATCACCAAAAATTATGTTAGAAATATCCATTTAATTATTTTGTATCGGTATTTGAAGTTTAGCTGTATATTTCGGTGTTACATAAATTCTCCTCTGTCCTAAAAATATGCCATCCATCATCAATAAATACATTACCATTTAAAAAAAAAGTACAATCAAAGTTTAATTTCATACATACTCTTTTAATGGAACCAGTTTTAGTTAACAAAAATTATGTTAAAAATACGTAGTCGATCTAGGTATCTGGCTATTTGAGATTTTACACTCAGTTTTTCATTATTCACTAAGTAGTTAGGTGCAAAGAGACGACTAAAATTAAAATTTTCAACTACTTAGTTACAAACAAACTTACTTACATCTGAAAATAAAGGTTGAGTTCAGAATGAATTATAAATTTTCAAGGTGTTCGGTTTGTATAAAGATAAACGATATCATCGGTTATTTCCTGTCTACAAGTATAGATAACTCAAAATATTAAAACAATATTTTAGTGCTTAATGGTAGGCAACCATTAATACAATGTAAGAGCAAAAGGACATTAATCTTATTAATGGCCCATAGTTAAATGGAACAATCTCTACAATAAAAATTTCTAAAACTGTTTAATCAGTAATTTTCATAGAAAATTCATGATGGTTGTATATACCGGGGGAACAAGAAACACCAAACTATCAATATTATTACATCAATTAAATGGACCAAAAGTAATACTGTATATGTTATTTTCACCGGTAAATGTTTAATTGGTAAAAGAACATACTTGTTAATACCTAATAGACCGAAACCGTTAATTCGGTTTCAAAGGAATATTTATATTGTCACATTAGATTAATAACGCATCCACCAATGGTGTGACAGTATGCTCGTAGAGATGTTCACTGTACATTGAACAGATTCCAATTCGAGTACCATTCTCATGAGGCAAATAATATAGATATCTCGTTACAAAGTCTAGATGAGAGACAAGTTAGATATTATTGGACGGCGTTACGAAAAACAAATGGTATTATGTAGAATACGTGACGTAGAATAATATTAAAAAGAAAAATAATACAAAAACCAAAAGAACCTAAGTATTCACTATTATCGAATAGAATTAAACGAGAAAAAATTACATTGTAACGGAAACGAGCCGTAGATTAACGCTGAAGAGAAAAATT